GCGAGGCCCCATGTCTCCTACCTGCCCCTCCCCCCCCACCTCCATTCGCCATCCACCCGCCCCGGCCTTCTGCCTCCCCCGCTCCTTCTCCCCCGTCAACGCCCCACCTCGCCTCGCACGCACACACTCGCGACCACCCGCCCCAAGCCGCACTACCTTAGCCATCCCACCCGCCGCCCACGTCCAACCATTGTGCCACTCCACATCAGTCCGTCCCCCTCCGCGCGGCCGCCGCCCCCCCGCCGCGCCGGGGCTACGGCGCCCGCCGCCACCCGCCAGGGTAAGCGAGCGGGGCGGTCCCATCCCCCATACACCACCCCCCTCCCCCAAACCAACACAACGCCGCCCCACAAAATAGTGTTCTTTTGTTGTGTGGAAAGAAAAAAGAAGGGGGGGGGGGAAAAGGGGAGGGGGGGGGGGGGGGGGGGGGGGGGGGGGGGGGGGGGGGGGGAAGGAGTTGCTGTTGAGAGTCTCAGAAAGGGGAAGTCGTCCAGGAGTTGATATAGAAAAGACGAATCGCGTGAAGCGATTCCTGACCAATGTAGGTCCTACACCTTACATTGCATCTTGCCTTTTGAGGAGTAGGACAGCGACGATGTACCTACTCTCGAGACAAAGTTAACTAGTAGCAAGAGAGTAAAGAAACGTCTGATGTTCTCACTTCCCCGCATGGGGAAATCGGGGAAAGGAGGGTGGGGGAGAGTTCATTAGATAGGTAGGTACGGATACCTTAAAATTTTTGGAAGAAGCCCATAAAAGAGGGGAACTGAGGTAGAAAGCCCTGGCCGGCACTGCTTCAGGTATTGCGTACAAAACTTCACTGGCTCGGGTTGCCCTTGCTTCTTTCCAGCACTTACCTCTAGGGTAGACTGATGAAGTCTCGGGCCTGCAATTTTACTCCGCTCTATGCGGAAGAAACGTTAATTCCATGACTCAACTCAACACAACAAGAGGAAAGTCGTAGGCGATGACTATGCAGCGGGGCCGTGGTATTGCGAGTATGCTATTGCTCGGTACCCCTTACTGTGACGAAGGCAGTCGACCTCGGTCGAGCTATCCCAAACCCGAAAACCCAAACAGCATCATCTAGAACCTTGCTTTTTCGCCTTCTGAGCGCTTCCCCCCTCCATCTAACTGCTCTCCTCGGTTGTCAAATCGAGCTACGTAAAACAGACTTCCTGGCCGATCCAAATCCAAATATGTAGAGCCCTCATCGCGTCTTGGCCCTGGGTAAATACATGTTAGCCCTCGCACTGATCCATCTGCGCCTAAGCCTCCCCCCGGCCAGCTTCACTCACCCAGGTTGGCAACTCCACCCTCCCAGACCTTGTCTTTCGTCTTTTGCCTTCGGGTTTTGTAATGTTCAACTTTCACATGACGACGCAGCAAGGGACCTCGAACCCGGCATCCTGCTTACTTGGTCCCGCCCCGATCTTAATGCCGTGCGTAATCGTCTTGATCACTCGCGCCTGGTTGCGGTCGTAGAGTCCGCATAGTTCGTGTGTCGGACATGGCCGCTTGTCCGCCCGCTGTAGCCTCAAAGGCTTCTTCGCGATGCCACTGCCGAATTGTCCGCATGTCGTGTAGCCCATGCCCGGGCCGCATGGGATGGCGATCTCGCCCCAGACGCATTTGCACTTGACGTGCTTGTAGATGAAGACTTCGCACATTATCCCCTTGAAGGTTTGATAGGCTGATGAATCAGTGACGGTGGAGAATCCTGGCTCTCCCTGGTGTAATCGTTGACTGTTGTGGAATGAAGGTGAGGGAAAAACTGAGCAAAGCACAGGCGAAGTGTTGGAAAGGTGAATGGCAAAGGCAGGTTGAATGCTACTTCCCAGGTCGGACGAAAAAAGGCGTGATTTTCTGGAGGCAATACGGTGCATAGATATGCCCAATATATTGTGCACCCGTGAGCTACATTGCCACTTAACATACTTTATCGCGTACTTTTAGACATGCTTTCTAGGTTTATCAACTTCTCAACACACTGGTGTAGCCCGTTCACACCCCCGAGCCGGCCCATGTTTGCACTCCATCCATGTGACTAACTCGGGGACTGGGTTAAGGGCGCATCCCCATCGCGAAGGGTGCTGCTCTCCCCAGTGCCGAAGCCACGGTCAGAGTAATCCTCGGCGTCCAGCATGCGCGCTAGCATGGCCTCAACCCTCAGAGACGTTTGCTCGAGAGCCTCCAATCTGCTGCCGACATCTTGTATATCCTCGCTGCCAGTGAAAGATCCGCGCAACTTGGACGACACGCCCGGGAACATCGAATCTCTCCTATGAGGCGACTTCTTCCGCATGGTGTCATTCGTAATGGACCTAGTGAATTGCCGTCGGATGAGGTGGTGTGTGAGTTCGTCGTCCACCGCAATCTCTTCCTCGACGGACTCGGGCGGGGGCAAGTCGAACACGGCTCTTATGTCGCGGTGGGCTGTTATGCGCCACTTCTCCCAGAACCATTGTTTGACCCTCGGGTACAGCGTCAGGCTGCTGGACTTTGTTTCCTCCGGCTGCGGTGCTGGCCAAAGAATCCTGCGTTCCGCCACGGCGATAATAAGTAGGAGCGGCAGGTTAACTAGCCTAACGCTGGCTACATGTATCTTATGGAACCATCGCGGCGTGAGGATGAATTTCAGCGGAATAAGGATGAAAACTGCCAGAATGTTGAAGGGGGGTTGGTACGCAAAGATGGCGTCGCCCTTGACTCCCTCCAGTGTCAAGACAGCCTTTCGGAACATTATCTCTGCAGTCGCATTCTTGACAATCGTGCTAAATGTATTTGAGAGCATCGAGACGAGGATGGTGAGGAACAAAGTATTTCCCAAAAAAGCAAAAGCGACCATCAGGACGGGACCTAGAATGGGGTGAAATTGAACCTAATGAAATCCGTTAACCGGGAGTTCTAGTAGCAAATAAGGGAAGGGAAAAAAAGGGGAAGATTTCACCGATTCGTTGATACCTGTTCCGTCGAGACCGAACCAGATCCAGAGCATCCACTTGCTGATTGTGCTGTGACTGTCATTAGAAGCTGTATGTGGTAGAACGACTTCCTAGGGATAGCTTACACTGGAGGGTGTGCGCCTTCACCGAGCCATAGAAGCGACAGTAGAAAGCCGCCAAAACACCATGCCGACAAGAATGTGAGAAGGACAAAGTCTGACATCATGGAACGCAAGGAGAGGAACACCAGATTGTCCGACAGCAAGTTGAAAGCGAGGCGCGGGACTAGCACTGGGGCACCCATTGCAAGTACATCGAGAGCTTGTTGTTTCGGGACAAGATCCCCGACTCGAGCGCCATGGATGCGCAGTACTGCATACACAACGTAGATGCCGATGAAGCCAACGTCAAGGAAGGACCACAGATTCTGGGTGTAAACGTGCCTGCCCAGAAATTAGTGTCACTGATGTTTGCGACATGAGTTGGGTGTTCTCACCAGCCATGCTCCAAAATCGTAGCAAATTGGTCGAGTGACCACCCAAAAGCATAGACGGCGAAGCAACCTTCCAAGATGGTGAAAGTCTCCGGTTTACGCTCGGCCATGACAAAGAGGTAGAGAGCTAGTAAAATCAGGAACTGGAAAACCTCTAGAATGTTCCTGGTACGAGGCACAAGAAGTCGGTACTGGTCAAGCAGTGGCCCTTCGCGAGGGTTGTACAGCGAAATGGGCTTGAGCTTGTAGTGGTCTGGAATAATGTCCATGAAGCTCGAAGGAGTGTAGACAATACGGCCTTCGTAGATGGCATCGACGCTTGGGACGATTGTTAGCATCTGCCCAAGGCTCTGGTCTGCAAGGCGAGAACGTACACTTTCTGACAAGGAGTAGCACTGAGGAAGTATTTACTCTCAGTCAATATGGCAACTTCAAGCGAGGGAAGCATGCGGTTGTAGCTGCGATAAGACTCCGTTGAAGCCGCCTCACGAATCCCGGCAGGTGCCATTTGGAAGGGCTCAAAGCCGGCAACCAAGATGTGTGCTAGCAGCACTAAACCGTCAGGCCCTTCATTGTCGTCGCTGAAGCGTCTCAGTATTCGTGTTGCTACAAGCTCGCAGAGAGCTGCACGACTGTAGTTGACATTTTGCCGGTTGTTCAAGTGAGATTGCTCGTGCAGAAACTGAGCGCGGTTCACGAGCAAGCAGTAGACTAGTGGCAGTCAGGTAACTTATAGTAAATCCAGAACATCGACCCTATCTGCAACGTCAAGCCTGGTTTCTGCGAGACAGAAGTTCGAGAGGAGAAGGAGACAGAGAACGAGAGTGAAAGAGATAGAAGCAGAGGACTGTGAACGTACCTATGGAGATGTCGTCAAGCTCATACAATTTGTCGACAAGCGGACGGACGACGGCAATATTGATCCGCACATCACGCAGTTGTTCCAAACTTAGGTAGTCTTCAACAATGGAGATGATGTCTCGTCGGATACGGTGAATATTCGTATACACTGGCAAGTGACTGTGAGGATTGACCATGCAGCCGTAGAGAGGGACCTGTATCTCGGAGGTGTGACTAGCACGGTTCCGTTGCAGCAGCGGCCGTTCTTCCGGTACCTGGAGGCGTGCCCTGCGGGTGCGCTCCGACATAGTATGACTGTAGTGATGTGCCCTTCGTGATGCTAAACCACGTAGTGTAGGCGGAGGTGATGTGGCATATGGCTGGAGCTAGGGTAGCTAGGACGGTTGACGTGTAGATAGAGGTCAGTCGTACGTGTTAAGTGAGCTACAGGATGTTGGGCAGCAAAAATCGGCGTTGATCGTAGGAAGACGGGCCAGACACCGACGTGGAGAGTGGCAAGTTAGGGGTTGGCCCCACGCTCTGGCCTGTCACAATCCGAGTGGATTGTTTTGGTTGCTAGATTAAGGTAGCCGGGGAGTTAGCGACTGTTAGGAAATCGCAGCAAGAACAAATCCCACAGCAGTGGTGGGGAGCTGGTAGCAGGGTGACCGCAACACACAACAAATGTTGGCGTCTCACAGATAGCAAAGATGACGCAGATATCGGCAGGGCAGGTATTAATTAGATGGGATGCGGATGGAGCAGGACGGGGGACGTCACGGCTCCACGGTGCATGGGGACGCTAAGAATACCTAGAAGCACATCTGCTTTTAATGCAAGTCTGAGCCCGACAAGGTGGTCTGGGGGAAGGCAAAGAAAGGGTTGCCCGCGCGTCAACAAAATGGAATGTGATGCTAAGCCAAATTGGGGGACATTCATGAGGCGGCAGCGGCGGCAGGCAGCATGTGAAGCGTCAGCCGCGTCTAATCCGATGCATGTGGTGATGAAGAGAGCCGCAGAAGAAAAGAAGGGGAAATAGAACATCATTCGGATTAAATAGAGGGCCAAAGGAAACCTGTACACAGACTCGGCCACCACGTCGCGACGCGGCGATGCTGCTGGTCTACAGCCTACAAGTCCTCGATGTTCTGCACTCCATGTTCGTCTGGTGCGTAAGGTAGTCTCATGAATGACGACATATGCGCCCCGCGAACTCCGATTGTGTCCGAACTATCTTGTCCTGAGCTTTGCAATGTGCGATGCAAAATAAACTGGATCCGAATCGATGGGAATACCTAGGAGACTTGAGAGGGAGACAGACACGGCCTTCTGGCTGGTTGTAGCCCGCCCCAAAGATGGGAGTCTGAAGTGTGCACGGTGCTTCCCACCTTTCTCCTGAGTCCTGCCAACTTTTGTCGTCCGAGGCATTTCGAGGCTATCTATCCGTACACTACGGATACCTTGCTGATAAGTATGCCGCAGTTCTTCAGCTCAGGCGTGGCACACCTTGCAGCCACCAGCCAGCCTGAATCCAAATTATTGGGCCACAGGCTGAGTGGGGTATCAGGGCACTGAGCGGTGTGCGTGTTCAGCTCCATTAGCATGCCCACGCCCGACCAGAAGAAACTGCGCTAGCCGTATCAAGCGTCAGGGTGCTGCTTGTATTACATAAGGCTATTATTGTCTTCAGTCTTCACCAATGACGCCTACCAAAAGGAACACTAAACAGTGCCAGGTAGGGTAGGGGACCTTATCTTGCGGTAAATAGTGGCCGGGGGCTTATGTATCTTCAAATGGAGCACGTGAACGCTCGCGGCGTGGTGTTCGATGCTCCCTGGGAATAGCCCTTTTGAGATGCCAGCTGACATTAAACACATGATCTCTCGGACGCATCTTCAACTTCTCGATCGTGGGGATATTTATTGTTTTTTCATTTTAGGATAAAGTGCGGTAAGCTACGAGTTTCATCATCGATGCTCCCACTCATCCCTCTGTTGCGTCTTTCCTATACGCCAGGCGTGTCTCATCATTTTTTCCCACCCCAATCCAGCCGAACCTTCTGAAAGAATACTGTCGTCGGACTGTGGGTCTCAAAAGCTCATCTTCGTAATCGCTAAACCGTTTTACAGGTTGACAGACTTGCGGAAATTGGCACCGGCATAGACGGCGTTCTCGCCGAGCTCCTCCTCAATGCGGAGAATCTGGTTAAGCTTGGCAAGGCGCTCGGAACGGGCCGGGGCACCGGTCTTGATCTGGCCAGCCCGGATACCGACGACAATGTCAGAGATGGTAACATCCTCAGTCTCACCAGAACGGTGAGAAACCATGACACCCCAGCCGTCAGCGTAGGAGTCCTTGGCGGCCTGGATAGATTCGGTGAGGGTACCGATCTGGTTGACCTTGAGGAGAAGGGCGTTGGCAGCCTTGAGCTCGATGGCCTTCTTGATGCGCAGGGGGTTGGTTACGGTCAAGTCGTCACCAACGATCTGGATATCCTGGGTCTTGTAGAAGTAGCTCCACGCCTCCCAGTCATCCTCGGCGAAGGGGTCCTCGATGCTGACAATGGGGTACTTCTTGGCGAGGTCAGAGTACTGCTGAGCGAGCTGCTCGTAGGTGATCCACTTGGTGGGGTCGCTGTCGGGGTTCTTGAAGTCAAGGTCGTACTTCTTGGCGTCCTCCTTGTAGAACTCGCTGGAGGCAACGTCCATGGCGATGTTCATCTGGCCAGTGTATCCGGCCTTCTCAATGGCCTCGGCAATGAGCTCGAGGGCCTCCTCGGCAGTCTGGATATCGGGGGCAACACCACCCTCGTCACCGACGTTGCCGGCGGACTGGCCGTACTTCTTCTTGGCCAGACTCTTCAGGATCTGGTAGACCTCGGCACCCTGGCGGAGGGCCTCGGAGAAGGAGGGGGCAGCACTTGATAATTGTAAGCCGATGAAGCAGAACAGGCTGCAACGAGCCTGAATGAATGGGTCAACTTACGAGGGAACAATCATGAACTCCTGGAAGGCGAGGCGGCCACCAGCGTGGGAACTATAGCATGCAGTGAGCAAATGTTGAACCGAGAAAAGACGAGAACTTGCTTACCCTCCGTTGAGGACGTTCATGAAGGGAACGGGAAGGACGTAGGGCTTCTTGGTACCGGCCAAGTCGGAGACGTGGGCGTAGAGAGGGACACCCTGGGAGCCGTCAGTCTGGGTTACATGGCACAAAACCTTATACACGAATGCTGACCTTCTCAGCAGCACCAGCCTTGGCGACAGCCAGGGAGACACCGAGAATGGCGTTGGCTCCAAGCTTGGTCTTGTTGGGGGTGCCATCGAGGTCGATGAGGAACTTGTCGACCTTGGTCTGGTCCTTGACATCAAGGTTCTCCTTGATCAGAGCAGGGGCAATGACGGAGTTGACGTTCTCAACAGCCTTGGTGACACCCTTGCCAGCCCACTTGGTCTTGTCACCGTCGCGGAGCTCGCAGGCCTCGTGTTGACCTGTGCAATGGGTATCATCAGCTTCCCTGTACATTTATCTCTCGGTAGGGGTAGGACTATGAGGGCGAAGACGACGTACCAGTGGAAGCACCGGAGGGGACGATGGCACGGTGAAGGCCAGTCTCGGTGACGACGTCGACTTCGACGGTGGGGTTGCCACGGGAGTCGTAGACGTAGCGAGCGTGAATCTTGGTGATGGCCATGTTGTCTCGTGTGATGGATTTGTTCCTAACGAAGAGAGGGAGAAGATGTTAGTATGTGGTCGTGGGGGGAAGGAAAGGCTTTATATTAGTAGAAGGCAGAAAAAGAGACAAGTGGGTGAGTCAACAAAGCGATAGGACCGATTGGGGGAAATTGCTAAGCTTGCGAGTGCTCGCTCCTTGACCGGACAGCAAGAATTGCCTCAGGGTGGGATGGCATGGTGGGGTGATTCTTCGGACACAGCTTCAAAGCTCCCAGCTGTTTCCTGAAAACCATCGCCAGGTGCAGTGGAGCGGAAACGTATGATGAGACAACTTACTTGTGGAGTTTCGATTGATAGAGCCGGAGTAAGTCCTCAGCAATGGCTTGCGGGTGGAAAATGAGGTTGAGGTGACGGAGGAGAGGTTGATGGCGACAGAGGAGGGGGAGAGCGACGGCAGAAGCACGGTGGGAGCATATTGATTTGGAGGGGTCGTTTCCCTCCTCAGGTAAGGGTACCTTCGTTTGCAACCCCACCTGCACCTGCACCTGAGTCCTGACGTGAGGTGAGGTACCTGCCGTAAGGTATCATAGTTGCTTAACTTAGCCCGGGCAGGTGCCAACGGCGCCATTGGATCGCTCAAAAGATTGGGGGTATCTTGGACGGTGCCCAATCGCTTCTTCTCAAGACTCGGCGGGGCATCTACCCTGTTAGAGCGCTACATGGGCCCCAAGCTCCAAACGGCCAAGGATATCACAAACCAGCCTTGTTTCAAGGTACCTCTGGTGCTAGTCTTAGCACTGCCTCACCACGAGAACTGCATCTTGGTGAGGGCCGCTTCTCAACAAACCATGCAATGAAAACGCTGCCCTGCCAACTGGGAGGGATCTGGAACACGTTTCTGCCCTTGTCTCTCTTCATTGGGCCGCTCTTGCTATTCTAGTCCCTTGTCCCCAGCGCCGAGTCCGGCCTCATATTTTCAGTGTATTTTTCGGGTGCCCTAGGTCAGTGACTTCGGTCCTGTACAAAACAAAAGCCGTTACCATGTCTTGAGTCCTTGACCGTCGGCCGTTGGCACCCCCGTGTGGTCTGATTGGCTGCCCGCCACCATTGTCTTCGCACAACGGCTCTCCAGCCAGCCATCCATCATCGTGTTATGTGGTGGCCTCTGTGGACTGAGCTTGCGTCAAAGTGCGTCTTCGACAATCTACAAGTCCCGGCGCCCGATCTTCAAGACGTCTATTCCCCGGCACCCCGGTCCAACGACGAGCTGCTTATTGGCAATTGAGATCAAAGAATGGCATTCTTACTCCACAAAAGGTCTAGGACAGGCTGTGCGCCATGGATTATCCCGAGGATGTCGCTCGGAATAGCCAGGTGCTAATGCGGTTCTTCCCGATCATGGATCCCGACCCCGTCACCCCGTCCAGTAAAGCCGGGGTAAGACAAGTGTAGGGTCGGCAGGCAAGTCATCCTGTAGGCAGGTGATATTGCCTAGAGTAATTTTAACCTAATCCTCTGGAGCTCAAGTAGGAATGACGTCTGTCATTGACCCAGGGTGCTGGTTCTTGGCCGGGCGTACAGCATGTTAGTCGGCTTGTCTTTAGCACACCCGCATGGCTGCAAACCCTTTGCCCGCTTTCACCCGAGTATAAAGTCAAACATATGGATATACCACATCACTAGGGTATAGCATTCCATTAGTCTCTCGATTGGCTCACAGACAGATGCTAGCTTTCCTAGTAGAATAAATATTTTCCAGCCTCTGGCTACCTATTCGTCAAGCATAGCTCTACGGCCCGCATGAAGTGTGACACTGATAACTTGTCGTTACTACCAAAGTTGCCCCAACACGCATCTCTGGTGCCTGAGGTCCCTGAGGTCCCTGTGCCCGCCGACTTCGTTTGTGTGTAAGCCTTGAGTACTTGAGTATCAGAAAAGCCTCTAAAACGCACAGCGCGTAGGCTGTTGACGGAGTTTGAGCTCAAGTCTGTGACCCACATATATGGGCAAGTAAGTATCGGGGCTAATATAGCGAGTTGCAGGAAGGTGACGATGAGCTACGTTTTCTAGCTGGCTCAGCACAGAGGATCCTGCCAATTGAATGAGAATCATTGGCATTCAATCTCGCCCAGGTGCCGCATGCGTGCGTGCCTTGCACGCTGTTTTCTCTCGTTGTGAGGCACGAGCTGTCAACGTATCCAGTCAGATTATCAATTTGTGACGGCTGCAGGGTATTGTGGGAGTATTCGGCTAAGATTTCAGTAATTGTTGTTGTTGTTGTTGTCCATGTCCGGAGATTGACGGCTTCATCTTCCGCCAGTCCTCCGGTTGAATTCCAAATTCCTGGGCCGACCGGACGGCAGCAAAGAAGGCAAGTCCCGTGCTTCTCGTCCGGGCAGCACTCCCAAGAACCTTAGGCACGGTTGCGGCGGTGGGCCGAATCGGGTGGAAGCGGCTTGGTATGGGTCCGGTCGGCGCAGACCGAACAAAGGTGACCTGAGGCATGAGGATGCGGGGAGAGTTTTGTACCATTCCCGCGGCCTACGCGGCCTGCGTCGGCGCCTTCCACTTCTGAGACTGGAGCATTGATTTGCACAGGAAGAACTGGAAGCTTCCCCTCAGCTGGACCCCGCGCCTCTGTTGCACGTACCTTCCTTAGACAGCTTGGGTGCGTGCCTAGCAGACTGACCGCTTTCGTTCCTTTGCGGCTTTGGCCCACCCTCCCCCTCCTCGATGGCGTTCCGTTTCGCAAGACGAACGGTGAATTTAGCCCCACGCATCGTCAACCCGACCGCAAGACAAGTCACACGTATGTAAGTACAGTTATATCGTTACCCAACCACTGTCCCACCTTTGGAGTGTCCATTGACCTGACAACCTGGCCAGTCCCTACCAACTACGAAATCACAACGCCTTCGCGACCCTTTCTCCTGTACCCCGAGCTACCCATCCTCGACGAAACGTACGACTCCAGAATCCTCAGCGCATCGCCGCTACACGATACTGCTCCTACAAAAGAAGTATGTGTAGACACGGGGAACATGGCGGCGCTGGCACGCTGAACTACCCGCGGGAACAGCTGCCTACCAATGTCGTCCCGCGCCACTACGATCTCACTCTTGAGCCCAATTTCGAGACGCTCAAGTTTGACGGATTGGTCAAGATCGACTTTGATGTCGCCGAGGACTCGAACACCGTCTCTTTGAACACCCACGAAATAGAGATCAAGCATGCTTCGCTTTCCTTCTCGGCAGAGGGCCAAGACAAGAGCCTTGGCGAACCAGTCATCACCTATGACGAGTCGAAGCAATGGCACAGCTTTGAGTTCAAGGAGAAACTCACCAAGGGCGGAAAGGGCACCCTCGAAATCAAGTTCGTTGGTGAGCTGAACGACAAAATGGCTGGGTTCTACCGCTCATACTACAACAAGCCGGATGGCACCAAGGGTATCATGGCCACCAGTCAGATGGAGCCTACCGATGCCCGTAGAGCCTTCCCTTGTTTTGACGAGCCAGCGCTCAAGGCGGAGTTCACTGTCACCTTGATTGCTGACAAGGCCTTGACCTGCCTCTCGAACATGGATGTGGCTGAAGAGAAGGATTTGCCCTCTGGAAAGAAAGCTGTCAGCTTCAACAGATCTCCCGTCATGTCCACCTACCTCGTAGCCTTCATCGTTGGAGAGCTTAACTACATCGAGACCAATGACTTCAGAGTACCCATCCGAGTGTATGCCCCGCCTTCCGAGGACATTGAGAGAGGTCGTTACGCCTTGGATATTGGTGTTAAGGCCTTGGAGTTCTACGAAAAGGCCTTTGGTCTTCCCTACCCTCTTCCCAAGCTTGACCAGGTCGCCATCCCCGATTTCGCCGCCGGCGCCATGGAAAACTGGGGTCTGGTCACCTACCGTACCGTCGAAGTATTGTTTGACGACAAGACCAGCGGCGCCGCAGCCAAGGAGCGAGTCTCGACAGTTATCACCCACGAAATCGCTCACCAATGGTTCGGAAACATTGTTTCTCCAGACTGGTGGCACGCTCTATGGCTCAATGAGGGCTTCGCCGAGTTCGCGTCTCGCTACTCTATGAACGCCTTCTTCCCCGAGTGGAAGCTTAAGGAGTCTTTCGTGAGGGAAGATCTTCAAGCAGCACTGGGCCTTGACGGCCTCAGAAGTAGTCACCCTATCGAGGTCCCCATCCACAAGGCCGAGGAGATCAACGAGATCTTCGATAGTATCAGCTACGCGAAGGGTTCTTGCGTTGTCCACATGCTTTCGGCATTCCTTGGAGAGGATATATTCATGGAGGGTGTCCGCAAGTACCTTAAGCGTCATGCCTGGGGCAATGCCACTACGAATGACCTGTGGCAAGCTTTGAGCGAGGCTAGTGGCAAGGATGTTGGCTCCATTATGAACATTTGGACTCAGAACGTCGGATACCCCGTCGTCTCCGTTACCGAGTCGGGCAAGTCGATCAGCGTAGAGCAACATCGTTTCTTGACTACAGGAGACGTCAAACCCGAGGAAGACAAGGTTCTCTATCCCATCTCTCTGAACGTCCGTACTAAGGGAGGTATCGACAAGGATTTGATGCTCACAACTCGTAATACCAAATTCGAGATTGACGACGCCGAGTTCTTCAAGATCAATGCCGACTCTACTGGATTCTACCGCACCAAGTACGCTATTGATCGTCTGGAGAAGCTTGGAAACGCTGCGGAACTACTCTCCGTTCAAGACAGGGTTGGTATTGTGGCCGACACGGCTGCTCTAGCAACCTCGGGTTACCAGAAGACCTCGTCGCTTTTGAGCTTGTTCAAAGCTCTTAGCCAAGGAGGCGAGGCCGAGTACCTCGTGTGGGACCAGATTTTGACCCGCCTGGGCTCAATCAAGATGGCCTGGATCGAGGACGACGCTATAGTTGACAAGCTGACCGAGTTCCAGCGGGAGATTGTCAGCAGTATCGCGCACAGGCTTGGATGGGAATTCTCCAGCAATGACGGCCATGTTGAGCAACAGTACAAGGCTCTCACTTTCAGTGCGGCCGGTGTGTCTGGTGACGAGAAGGTTGTTGCTGCGGCTAGGGCCATGTTCAAGAAGTTCGCGGCTGGAGACAAGACGGCGATTCATCCTAACATCAGAAGCTCCGTCTTCTCAATCGTCCTGAAATTTGGCGGCGAGGAAGAGGTATGTCTGTTCTAAGCCAACACCGTTGAAGCAAGGCGCTGACCAAAGCCACAGTATGATGCCATTTACAAGTATTACAAGACCGCCGAGACCGCCGACGAGCGCAACAGTGCTCTGCGAACACTCGGACAATCCCGCGACCCCAAGCTCCGTCAACGCACGCTGGATCTTTTGCTGAGCGGCGAGGTCCGTGACCAAGATATTTACATCCCCATCGGCAGTCTGCGGTCGAGCAAGGGTGGCATCGAGGCACTTTTTGACTGGCTGCAAACAAGATGGGAGGAGATCTACACAAAGTTCCCTGCTCAATCTTCCATGATTGGAAGCATCGTGAGCTACTGTACAAGCGGGCTTACCAAGCAGGAACAGCTGGATAAGCTCGACAAGTTCTTTGCGGAGAAGGAGAAGAAAGGTTTCGTGCGTGCCTTGTCGCAGTCCACAGACTCGGTTAAGGCCAAGATCGCCTGGACTTCCCGTGATACTGAGGATCTGCGGAAGTGGTTGGGTCTTTGAAGTATTGATTTTGATGAGAGCGATTGCCAGTGTGCTACGCTTGCTATTTCATCTTGGATGGATAAGGGAGAAATGTCTTACCAGGCCAGACAGCAAAACCAAAACACAGACTACATTGTAATAAAATGGCTAAAGAAGAGAACATCTCCGCTTTTCAAGCCCTTCACTCCATAAGCATTCAAATAGGGTTCCCTATCGTCTCCGTGTGCATGAGAGCATCGCATGTGATGTGGGCGGTTTTATGGTTGTGGTGGACCCGACGATGGTTAGTTGTCATGTATCTATCCGTAGGGCACTTTACCCAGTGCGTAGAGGTAGCGAATTTATAAGACCCATTCATTCACCTTAAGCCGCTGCCAATTCGTTCAACATACATTCTCCCCCTTCTTCCGTCCCACCCGACCATACCCTTACTGATCTCAAAAGAAGGCAAGCTTTGTTGTTTTGGTGTGTCCGTCGCACCTCGGCCCACACAATGCCGTCTCGGAGACTAGTTTCATCATGGCAGGTCCGCGCCGAGGCCGGCGAGCCCTTCGCCGTGATCCGGGTCCGCGACCTCCAGGGCACAATCCAGGCCGGGACCGACGCCTGGGGTCGCAAGAATAAGGCACAGCCCGTCGTCATCTCGGCCGAATTGTCAATGGCGGGACCCTTTGAGGCCGCGTCCGTCTCGGACACGGTCAGCGACGACACGGTGCACTACGGCCTCTTGGCCAAGGCGCTCCTCCGCAGCCTCGACGACGTGAATCGGTCGGCGGAGACGGTGTCGACGGTGTCCACCACCCTGCATGGCGCCATGGAGGCTATTTGGAACAGTTTGACTGGGTTTCACGTCGGCGGGCTCGAGGCAAAGGAGCTTAGCAAGCCGGCCTTATTGAAGGACAGGATACCCAAGATTCGGTATCTGAACGTCACTGTCACCCTGCCAAAGGCATCGCTTCTCGGTAGCGGCGTGAGTCTGTCTTGGTCGTCGGCCTTTGATCCCCGCGACGGCGTGGCCGCGGGAAGATTCTACAGCTCGTGTCTGCGCATCCATGAGCTGCGCGTGCCCACGCTCGTCGGCGTCAACGATAATGAGAGGCTGTCGAGGCAGGTCGTCGTGGCCAGCGTCGAGATCGAGGGTTACCTAGGCCCGCATGATATATACGTCGACGTTGAGTCTTATATTGTCAATGTCTGTCTGTCTCTTACTCGTTGTCTTATGGTCTTGCCCTCGTTCTCTGAATTGATCAATTACTGACGCTAGCAATGGCACCAAAAAGGTTTTGGGAGACTCGTCCTTTGAAACGCTCGAAGCTCTTGGTCCCGCCATTGCCAGTGGGATCAGGCGATGCTGCCAAGAGCGGCGAGGTGTTGATGAGCCGTACAAAGATCCCGCGGGATGGACGATCAAGGTTATCATGGAGAAGCCGACTGCCATTACCATGGCGGCGGCCTCCTGCGTGGAGTATAGAGAACTCCCAGAAACAAAGCCGTAGTCAAGCTATCTTCATTGGGGGGAAAACAGCAACTCAAGTTGAATATTGCCGCTATACTAAGGTAGATGGTCAAGGAGTCCGCCTCATTCTCAGCTACTGTCCGTCTCCTCCCATCTGGTCTGTGCCGTTGTGCCATGGAGCCGTCGTAGAATCTCAGCCGTGAGGCCCGTCGCCCGTCCGTAGCCGTCCACTGTTCATGCCTCAAACTTCTCGCATTGCGGAACATCGCCATTGGTGATCTCCCGAATGAACGCAGGGTCGGGGTCGAAGAGCATGGCGTGGAAATGCTCGACCGCGTGAACGGACTTGAGACTCCGCCAATTTTTGAACCAAATGACCTGGTCGACATCGTCAGCGACAACGACACAAAAAGTGTATCATAGACCTAGATTCAAGATGGCATCAAAAAATCATGATGGAGAGGAAGAAAAAGACCCACCGTGCCAGGCTTCGTCCTCGCCCGAAACGTTCTATCCACGAACTGATCAATGTCCTCCCTCGCCCTCTCCGTCAAATCGCCCGTCGCCGGGTTCTCCTCCAACTCAAATTTGGTCCAGACTACAAGGTGCACGATCCGCCCATCGATCCCGTACGGCCAATCATTATACAAAATCTTGAAATCCGTCCCCTCCTCAAACGGCCTCTCACCAACAGGCCGCAACGGCTCCTCCCACCGCAGCCGCTGTTTCAGCACGAAATCCATGACACTCCCGTGCTCCAGGATGAGGTGGTGGATGAAGAGCCGGTAGCGCCTCAGCTCGCTGGGGACCCTTTGGAAGAGGTCCAGGCGGTTCGTCTCGACGAGGCGCCGGACCTCGTCCCACGTCTGCGGACGGTAGGCCGCGTCGGGCGTACTCAGGATCCCCACGTCCTTGGCCGAGAGGTTGCGGAGGCCCTCTGGGCACTCGTCCATGCGGCGCTCCGAGGGAACGTTGACTTGCCAGTACGGCAGCGCCGTGGCGGCCGGGTTGGAGATGCTGCCCATGGTGGTTGGTTGTGGTGGTGGGTGTTCCTGGTCAATTGGTGTATTTGGCAAGGCCAGGGATGCGGCCGATGAAGTTAATGTGGATATTTGTATTCAATGCCAAGTAGAATTAGGAGGAGACGTCGTTGTTACCGAGAAAGGGGACAGTCAATCAATACCTCTGGGAGTGACGGCGATGTGGACGCTTGCAGGGCCGTCCACGGTTGTCAAAGGAATAAGACTGCTGATAAGACCTCTACACTATATGGGGGGGGGGGGGGGCGGGTGGACCGCCCCTTTAAGCCTTGTTGCTCGTATACATAACATGCCCGTATCAAACTCACAACCCTTGCCTTCGGTGAAGCTATTGGACTAGAATGCAAATGTTGTTGCTGCTACTGTTGCTGCCATCTATCCCATGAGGCAAATGCATGGAGGCGTAATTCATCAGTGGGAAACCGGTGGCCCACCAAGTTATGCATCCGGCGGCAGCATCCCACGTCGACCCCCCTCCCCCCGGATTGCGCTCGCCCGCTGCGATGCCCGGAGTAGGGACCGGTATGCAACCCCGCGCATTGTTCCGCTCTTGAAATTTATATTTGTTTTTTCCTCTGCCTTCCCAGGTTCCTTTTTCCCTGTCTCACCGCTACTCGTTGCCAGTCGGTTCTGGACCACTCCACACGGAACTGCAGGTCCAAGTTCCGGCAGACCGATATCGTTACACACAAACGGCCCTGATGGACCATGCCAAAATCCACAGCAATTCACACAGATCAGACGCAAGTGACCAATGCTGGCACAAATGGAGGTCAACGAAATGCACAGGTTGCCTTATTAAAATACTATCGAGTTTGTTCTGCCGCTGCCATAGATACCTTGTGCAGACGCCGCCGTTTTGGGGGGAATGATCATTGGTTTCTTTCTACTGTCCCACCGCGCCTCCAGGTTGTCCTCTCAAGATGCTTCTCAAGGCATCAGGACATCTGGTTTGAATTTGCTCAAAATACAAAACCTGCAAAGAAGCCACTTAATGCTCAAGCAGGCGCAAGCTACCCTGCACAACGACATTCTCGAGGATAGATCCAGGAGGCACATCAATAGTGCTGCCTTCCGTCGCAACAATGATGACGGTACCCTTGAGTGTGACGCCGCGGCCGAGGTTGACGGCACCAGTGATGGTAAGGTGGTCCAACTCAATAATCTTGGGAATAGACGGGATGTGCTTCTGGAAGTCAGAGACCTTCTTGAAGTCGCTACCCAACTTGATGAGGGGAGCATCACCGAAGCGGCTAGAGCTCATCTGGAGCTGGCCGTGCTTGACGGTGTAGAGATCAGACTTGACGAGCATCAAGTCAGAGCAGGTCTTCACAGGCAAGAAGCGGCGACGGGGAACGTTGACACCGTGAGCATTCTTGAAGTGACGGATGGCGGCACCGACGGCAGTCTCCAGCTGGATGATGGAGATGTCAGACTCGCCCTTCTTGTCACCAGGGATGGTCTTTCCGTTGGGAATGATCTCCATCTCAAGCTCATCGTTCTCGACGACGCGCTTGATGGCCTTGAGGTTCAGCCAGATGTTATTGGTGTTGAAGTACTTGAACTTCTTGATGGACTTGAACTCATTGACGTGCTCCTTGGGAACCTGAGCGATCTCGAGCAGACGGACGGATCCCTCGTAGTCGATGATGGTGCCACCCTTGACGTCGGCCTTGGTCTTGTTGGTCAACTCCATGATGTACTCGGATTCGGTCTCAACCATGTGCTGGAGAATGCGGAGGTCGACGACAGCGCCCAAGTTGTCAACATTGGACAGGAAGACAACCTCGATGCCACGCTCAATAAGCTTGTCGAGGATGCCGGAGTTGTAGAGGGACTCGAAAACGTCACCATGACCAGGAGGGTACCAGTCGTTAATGGAGGAGTCGGTCTTCTTGGGAACGGGAAGAAGGGAGTCCTTCAGGATTCTGGGGTATCTGGACTGGTTGAAGGTAAGGATGTCGACGTTGTGACCCTCGTACTTCTTGATGATGGCGGCGGTGTCCTCGTCGGTGTTGAACGAGTTCATGAGGATGAAGGGCACGTTGACATCGTAAGTGCGGTTGAGGTACTCGATCTGGCGGACAGACAGGTCGAGGAAAGACATGCCGTCACGGACCTCGATGACGGACTTGGGGCCGACACAACCCATGGAGGTACCGAGACCACCGTTGAGCTTCAGGACGGCAAGCTTGTTGAGGAACTGAACAGACTCGGAGTTGGCGAGGTCCTCGTAGTCAACGACCTGACCCTGGGCGGGAGGAGCAATGCGGTCCCAGTCGCTATCTCATGGTCAGCTCGAGGCTCATTTGTATCTACTCGTTCTTGTGGACTAACACAGCGTTGCCCTTGGCCTTATCGTTCAGGTAGCGGCGGAAGAGGGCAAAGAAGTTGTCCATCTCCGTCTCGAACAGCTGCAATATGGTTAGAACAGGCGCTTTCGGTACTACAGCTGGACTTGATGATACTAACCTTCTTCTGCTCGGGGTCCGTGACAGTCTCGGAGAGCTGAGTGAGCGCATTGCGCATCTGGGCAGCAGCAACGCTGGTGGAAGTGTTCTCGAAAGCCTTAATGACAAGTTAGCAACGCGTTCACGCAGAGGAGACCGAGTCCTGTGTTAGCCCCATGAAGTGGGGTGGGGAATGCTTTGAAGCCATCGTCGAGTGATCCGCAGCGGGGCTCTGCCACCAATGTGGCCAGCTTGTTGCTACCCCTGACAGGCATAGTGAACCTTGTTGCTGGGTAGAGAACAGCACACACCGCACTGCCAGCTTGTCCCCTTCAACCAGGCAGAGCCAGCAAATGTCCCTTGAGGATTTTTGGTGCCTTAAGCATTGCCAATGCTGTACGATGGCGTTTGACGTTGGATCAGCTGGGGTTTTCGAGGTACAAGAACTAGCCAACCGTTGTACAACATCTCAGGTAATTGGCACTGGAAATAGTGACACAAGCTGGCCAGTGTGGCTGTTCTCGATTTGCAAAAGGCCTTGCGCTGGCTGTCTCGAGGTAAAGCAGAGGCCGGTCGCAGTACCCGATGTAGGCTTATTTAAGACCGCAATAAAAGGAAGAGGATAGAGCATGTACCATGTGGGATCTCGTCTTGCCGTGGTGGCGGGAGCTGAACTCTTCATCGCTCTTGCCCTGACCGCCCAGAGGGGACTTGAGGTGGGTGGGCAGAGCGCTCTTAATCGCTTGAGCCATTGTGAATGATATTTAACGCGGTTCGCGGTGAACGGTGTGGAACTGGATGTACCGAGAGGATGTCAATGGATTGCAACAGAGCAAAGCGCGGCGTTTGAGTGTCTCGTGTTTATGTAGGTGTAGAGGGGACGGTGTGGAAAAGGAGAGAAAAAACAGGCGGTGATATCGAGGACGGCGGGGTAGTGCCTACATTGACAGGGGATTCGCCGTGGAATTTTGCGGCGAAAAGATTGCTGGTAGCTCAGAGGGTTCTGTGTAGCCTGACGTAATTTGTGAGCTTCTCCGGGCGATTTGAGAGGAATTAAAGCAAGGTGCGGAAAGAGGCAGGTCAGGTAGGTTGGTGGAGGGTAAGTTACAGTGTACTCCCGCGGTGAGTGAGAGCTGGGGGAGGGCGGGGGAGGCAAGGGAACTGGGAACTGTGAAAATGGTAGAGGCAAGGTGCTTCGGGACCAAGATCAGAGCTGCATTCTGCTTGGTTGGGGCAGACAGAGAGCGGTTGCGGTGATCGGCGGTAGGGTGACGAAGGGTAGGAGGGAAGACGGTGACCGGGACGTCAGGTAAGGTAGGTAGGTTACTTACAGCAATAGCAACAGCAATGCGGCAACAAGCGAGTGTGGTCGATTGTTTGGCTGGGATGGAGAGGGAAGGAAGAGGAGGAATCGAGTAGGGAAAAAAGGAGAACCGGCAAAAGAAGTAGATGCCCGTTGGAGGGTGGCCGGGCAATTGGCTTTATAGCGGTGATATCACTGTGGGAACCTAGTCGATTCGCATTTACCAATTTTCATTTTATCTCGTTCCCCCGTTCGAGGAGGAGACAGCCACGGGGGGAGGAGGGGCGCCTGTCACTGGAGACACCCGATGCACCTGAGGTGCTGGGCTGGGCTGCTCGACATGGACAGTCACCGTCGATACCTTGCCTTCCAGGTTCCTTCATCACCTCCTTCCTCACCTCCTTCTCGAACCCGACGCCATGTACCTTACTCTGTGCTTCGTACATGACCCTGAGTTCCCTCCCACCTTTTCTCAAAGAACATCATCCCACCTTTTTTACCCGAGCTTATGCTGGCTTGTTTTTATTCGCGATAAAGCACACACCACACAGCCTTTTTCATATTTACAACCTGTTTTCCCCTTTCCCAAATGCCGGGCCCATTATCAGACATCAGCCTAGTCTCTTGTCCCCTTCTGTCTCATTGCCTCTTTGCCTCTTTGCTCGTACTCGTCTCCAATGTCTCCAATATGAGGAAGAGGGGAATACTCAATGCAAGCTGCGAGACCCAAGGTATTTTCCACCGAGACGAGTTCTTGAAGCTCATGCCCGGTGCCTGATATCACCTACTCGAGCCATTCCAGTCATTTTCTCCTCGACTGCAACCCTCCTTCCTGCTGGTGTCTGGCGTCTGGCGTCTGGCCTGGCCACGGCCTTCTCAGCACCCCTGTGGCGCTTCAGACTAGTGACGCCTAAACGAGAGAAGCTGCAGCTGGCTCGCATAAGTGGCAAAGACGAAGGAAAGAGAGCAAAAAGCCGAACAGTCTCGGGAAGCACGTCGTTGTTTTTATCAAGACTTGGGGGTACACAAGCAGATACGGACATGCAGATCACCAAAGGGTGCGGATAACGGCCAAATCTGTAAGACGCTGCGACCAACCATCCCACTTCATCCAATCTACAACTCCAGGGAAAGCCAGGGACGACACCGGAAAAGCCAGTGCGCAGGCATGGCATTACCTATCTGAACCACGATGCTGGCCAACTTCCTCCGTCCCTGCAGCAAAATGGTGTTCCGCCCTCTGTTTTTCCAATCTCCATCTCCATCTCAAGCTCCCGTTCCAGCACCAATCCGCGGCCACGGCCGCCCACATGCTGCTTCACGGGCGAGCCGTCCGAACATGTCCCTCACGGCGATGCATGCACTAAAAAAGGTGCGAGTCTCCATCCACTGCGGAGTCGAACCGTCTTCGCTACAGAGTCACTCGCCTTGAATGGATATCCTGAAATATCACAACTCCACCAACCAACACCCTCGTCAGCCGTAAGATGAGCTGGACCTGCCCTCCTACTGTACCTCCTACTACGTTCCCCCAAGTCCTATCCACTCTACGGAATCCTTGTCTGCAGTTAGGCGGGACGCGACACCTGATGTACCCATTTCTTCACCTACTTTACCTCAAAGAACCCGCCTACCCCCACCTGGGGAAACGTTACGGTGTGCTCCTCGCATTGCAATAGCCTCCTCGGACCTGCCCCAAGACTTCGGCACGCACCGTCTTTGATGTATTCTTAAGCAAGGCTGCTTCTCTTCGAAGACATCTCAAAAGGGGTTCAAGCGGCCCGATGTCCGTATTTCCTCGCTGATATGGCACCATCCACGGCGCTATTCGTTAAAGATGATTGGCCGAGCTGAACGCCGACTTGCCGGACTCGCCTGCACTTCACACCTCATCGCCCAATGCTCAACAATAGGAGTTGCCACCACCCTGAACTTCCCGACTTCGCTAAATTGATCGGGATCAAACTTCTCAACCCAACGAGCGGCTTGTCCTCCAACCGGCGTTTTTTTTTTTTTTTTGTGCCTGAGTATCAAGCGCGAAGCGCCATGCTCTTTGGTTTCTGCTTCTCAGGCCTCATAATAGCCGGAGCTGATTTTGTAGCCAAGCGGGCCATCGTCGGAATTTTTCCCGAGCAATTATTCCTCGAACCCCCAAATGATCCAACCATCAGGTTTCCTGTGAAGTTGTTGAACCGAAAATAAAACACACGATCCCTAAATGCCGGCATCTGCGCCCCGGGCGGGCCAATTCCCACTTGGCTTCTCGTTTTAGTCAGTTCCCAACCGGCTCAAGGGGAACGTATCCATCGAAACCCATTCCGCCTGGTCGGAAGTTTGATTACATACTGCTACGCTGTGGGCCAGATTGTCAAAGACGGATGCAATCCGTTCTACCTTACAGAATACAGAATCCTTTTCCGACACGATCATCTCATCTGTGGCGGCGACCCATTGACAAGGAAAAGGAACTAAGGAGAATTTGACATGCTGTCGGCCATCGCCCGGACTTTACTATCTCAAACTAACTCTTTCAGCCCAGGAAGCCAAACTCGCGGGCGTCCGTTCAGCCCGATCAGACACGAGGCTGTCGTCTGTCATGCAAGAGACCCTTGTTCTCCAATAGGCCTTCCAACACTTTTCTCTTAGCGCAATTTGCGCTCTTTGACGCCATTTTCACTACTGCCATTCTTCTCTCGGATTTCGAACTCTTTTGAACATGCTCATCCTTGTATAATAAGCAATATGTTGCAAGTTCCAGATTGCGCTGATTAACTGTCACCGGGGGGCAGGGCAGTAATGAAACGAAACAATGAGCCCAATGTCTATTGCCTGGGGCCGCAACCATAAATAGAACAGGCGGCGGGCGGGAAGCCTCAATCCGTATCTGCACATGGACTGCATCGCAGACAGGCCGCCCCATCAAATGAGGCTCTCCGATCCGTCCCACGTGGGGGAAGGGGAGGAAGCCCAGACCATACCACAGCGCCTAGAAGTTTTCCGGTCACCTCTCAGGATCGTCGAGCAAAAGCATCCTACACATCAAGTCCCAAGGCGTCGGCGCAACAAACACGATGTTCGTAGCATGTCGCGTCATCCAGTCCGTTAGACATTTCAGCTGGACAACTAGTCGGTAATCTGTAGATAATGCAAGAGACGGTACGAGGTGCACACGTCAAGGCGAGGTTCATTTTGAATTGTATTTCCTTTTGCCGTTGCTTGAATCACACGAGATCGGAGTATCGTAGAAGTAGGTGTCAATATACAAGATCATGTCTATTTCAAATTACATGCGTGAAATACGCCAGCCGTGACTTTGATCATACCAAAACGCCTTGTTCTTCCTCGGTGATTGATTGGTCTCACGTCCACGAGAGCCTCAAACTGATAATCAAGCTACCAACGCCGCCCATTGAACCTCCAAAGGGGTATAAACGCTCGAATCACCGCCACCTTCCCAGTGTTGCTTTATTTCTTCTTCTGCTTCTCCATGTTTTCCGTACACACTGGGCAGTACCATGTCCCGTTGGGCTCGCTCTTGAGGCCGACGCACGACCAGTGGAACCACTCGTAGGGGCAATCCTCATTGTCGCACGCCACCATGTCGCCAAAGCTGACGTTCTGGCACGTGCAGTATTTCTTGTCATCGCCAGCCTCGTCGTCTTCGGCGTCAAGCACGCTGTCGTCACCGTCGGCGTCGGCGTCCTTGCCTTCGCGTGCCGGGGTGCCGCTCGTACGGTCTACCCGGCTCCGGTCACCGTCATCGCCGCTTCCGCTCTCGGCATCCGATAGCTCACTATCTGCCGTCGAAGCTGGAGAGTTGCGGCTTCCGGCCTTTTTGACGCGGGACAAAGACGACTTGTTGCTGCTAATCGGCTTCTTCCGGCCTGCGGCACCTGGCGTCCCTTTCCTTATGCCTGAAACGCTCGATGCTTTTGTAGATGAAGATCTGGGCCCCGCGCTACCCGCTCGCACTGCGCCGTTCGGCCCGGGGGTGGTTCCTTTCGGTGTGCCTGGGCCTAGAGAAGAATGCCTGGCCAGACTGCTCGACGTCGCAGGAAGAACACCGAGTCCAGAGACGGAGCGCGGGCCTCTCTTTGGCGCGCCGCTTCCCGGCCCTGCCGAACTTTCGCGAGCTTGGCGGTTCATTATCATGCTGGCGGCAGGCGTCGCGGGGGCTGAGGAGGCGTGTTGCTGGGACTGGGCGTTGCGGATCTGGGGGTTCCCTACGCGGGCCGTAACTGGACTCGACGAGTTGATGATCGGGTTCAACGGCGTCGCGGTGATGGCTGTGCCGACGAGGTGACTCGCGGGGTTGATGGATCGGCTTGACGGGGCAGAGTGATTCGCAGCACTCGGCCGGATCAGGGAGGGGCATTCATCGGGTTCGTTGAAGCCGGGCTCGGCACGGTCGTATAGCATCTTGACATGTTGGTCGAGGTTTCGCAGGTGCTTGTCCATGATAATCTGCAGCTTCTGCGTCAAGGCGATCTTCTCGGTGGCGAGCTGATCAGCGCGAATGAAGTTGTCGCGCATCTGAGATCGCATGCCCTGCTCGCGCGGATTCGTCTCGTGACTGCCGTTCGCCCTTATCCATTTCTGTATCTTTCCGTCGCGGTCTTCGATCAGCTTCACGCAGTCCCCATACTGCCGGTCCCTGTCGGCGATTTCATCTTGTAAGAAGCGTATCTCTTCTGGAAGGTTCTGAACGCGGTTGAGCCAGTCGTCGAGGATGATGGCCGGGTCGAGGGCCTCGGCCGTCGGCATCCTCCTGACGAAGTCGATGGACAGATCGTCTCTAGGCATTGCGTGTTAACGACGGTCCCAGTGTAGATATGTACTCTTCGTTGAGCGAACAAGAGGCCGTTGATGTGGAGGATCTGTTCAGGCAGGCAGACGAAACGACCCACGCCCAGCAAGGACCACAAAGACGGCTCGGGAGCAGGATGTATGTGCAACCAAAGCAGGGTTCTTGCTAGAGACAGGGACGAGGACGAGGACGAGAGACGGGATGCGATGATAGGTCGAGGGAGGTGGAGGAAGCAACAAAGGCCTCGAGAACCAAAGTCATCGAGATAAAGAGGGGACTATGCGAGGTAAGAGGGATCGGGGCAGAGCAGAATAGAGGATATGTGGAGTATGTAGAGCAGAAAGTCGGCGGCGGGTGGGAATAGTGGCACGCAGGGTGACGGGGGCGGGGCGGCACGGCACGTCCGCCGACGGGGTGGGCTGACCGAGAAGGCAGAGGACCACTGGTGATGTATGCCTTGGCTGCACTTGCCCTTTGGGAAGGCGATGGCAGAGGAGCCTTGGACAGGAGAGACTTTGATGAACAGAGACCCCGGCCACGATCCTCCGCAACGAATGAAGTGACTAGCTTGGCTCACCTAAAGACACTGGAGACCGGAAGAAGGGGGCGTGTAAAGTCGGCAAGAGCTCTCTGTTCGATTCTCACCAGATGCAGTAGGCGGATCGAGCGTCGAATGTCGAGTCGAGTCGAGGCGACGCGACGTAATGGCTGGCCCTGGCTCGTGATCCCGGAATATATTTTATTCACGGAGTAATGAAAATTCCCTGCTGGGTACGGATTGAGAGATGAAAATTTCCTCTGATGCGCGCGGGTGGGGTGGAGGAGGCTGGAATTGCGGTTGCACAGCGCGGTGGTCCAGTTCCAGTTGGGTTCGGGTGGTGTCACCGGTGGGCAAGTTTGCGAGGGTCCAGCTAGCTTTGGCCCAGTCCACTAAACAGTGAGACGAGCAGAGCGGAGACGGGAGTTTTAGCCTCCGATTTCCATGCTAAGGTGCTGCTCAGGCGGACCTCGAGTCATTTGATTGGATGTTTTTGTAGATAGTGGGGCTCAATGACACTTGGGCCAATACCCATGTCTCAATCTGTCAAGGTGCCCGACTCTGTCTTTTGTGTTTCGGTACGTACCTTATAGGATCTCTGGCTTTACCAGAGGACTTGGGATGAATTTCAAGAAATTTCAATCAGACTCAATTTCGGAGGCCAAGATTCAGGTAGACTCTCTTCTCGTAAATTGACCACAGCAGAGAGTTGATACTCAAGCGTTTCAGATGCGGAATGCCGTAAAATGTAAGGTACCTAAGGGACTCTGGGTACGCTCCCAAGTCTCGGGCAGATTCGAGAGATTTCTTGCATGCACCAGAAAATCAAGCCACAATGAGGCTGGTAGAAACCAACCAATCTGGGGAAAGCGTCTCCGAGTTCACCCAGCGTGGCTGGTCTGTCCAAGGAAACCTTGCTTTGCCTTACCTTAGTGGGTACCCAAGGTGCCGGCTTCCTACCTTTATCGCCTGTCACATAAGGTACTATTCAACTACGAGGCCCTCCAACGAAACGTCGCAAATACATCACGAATCACCAACTACGAATCACCGACGGACGACGTCGCGGTCAGCTTTGGAATTTGACGCAAATACCACTGCTTCCAAGCCAACGCAATTGGACACGGCCAAATATTAGTAGCCCACCATTTTGGCCCTGGCGACGATCTCAGACTGAACCAGCCGTCTGCTCTACTATTGCTGAGTAAAACTCATCTCAGTCGGCCAGCCCAGGACCCCACCATCACCTTCGACAACAATCGGGACTCCTCTCGAGCTTCATCCCGGCCGCTCCGGCGGGAAATCCGTCGCCTGCCACCATGGACACAAACGCGTACAGATTCCGCGTACCCAAGCCGAATTACTTACCTCACAGGACTGATAAGGACGACATCGTTGAGGAATACGAGCCCCTCGGCCAAGCCAGTGAGCTTGACAACGCCAAGTACTTCGCCAAATGCAAGCGCATAGCCGAGGAGTCGGGCATCACACGGCCAAAGGGCTACAATGTCTCTTTCCATTGTAATCCTGAAATGGAGAAGCACCACTTCGGCCAGACTCATCCGATGAAACCGTGGAGGCTTACTCTCTCCAAGAGTCTTATATATTCTTACGGCATGTCCTTCGCCATGGACAACTACATCGCTCGAGCTGCTACATATGAAGAGCTCAACGACTTCCACTCTGACGACTATTTGGACTTTCTTGGCGTCGTCCTCCCCGAGCCTGTCCCCAGGGACGTTGAGAACGCTAATCCCGACCTCAAATTCAACCTCGGCGGCTCCGACTGTCCTCTGTTCGAGGGTCTTTACGACTACTGTTCCATGTCAGCGGGCGGATCTCTCGATGCTGCGCGCAAGATATGTTCCAACCAGTCCGACATTGCCGTATCATGGGGAGGCGGCTTGCATCACGCCAAGAAGGCCGAGGCGTCGGGGTTCTGCTACATCAACGATATCGTCCTGGCCATTCTACAGCTCCTGCGCTGCTTTCCTCGTGTCCTCTACATCGACATTGATGTGCATCATGGAGACGGTGTTGAGGAAGCTTTTTATTCCACCGACCGCGTTATGACGGTATCGTTCCACAAATACGACCCTCTCAACTTCTTCCCTGGCACCGGTGGACTTGACGACAACGGTCCTAAGAACGAGCATAATCCAGGAGCCCACCATGCCATCAATGTTCCTCTCAACGACGGTATCACTGATGATCAGTACAAGTGGCTCTTCGAGAATGTCATTGGTAAATGCATGGAGAAGTTTCGACCCAGTGCTATTGCGCTACAATGCGGTGCCGACTCTCTTGCCGGAGACCGTCTTGGACGTTTCAACCTTCAAGTGCAGGGCCACGGTGCTTGCGTCGAATTCTGCAAATCGTTCGGAGTGCCCATGATTCTCTTCGGCGGCGGCGGGTATACTCCCCGCAATGTGGCCCGCGCCTGGGCCTTCGAGACCAGCATCGCAATCGGTTGCCAGGACAAGATTGATCCCATCATCCCAATACATGCTCCTTGGAGGGACCAGTTTAGATATGAGGAGCTGTTCCCGACGTTGGAACAGATTCTTGGGGAGCCACGCGTGAATCGCAACACACGAAAGCGTCTCGATGACGTGCTGCAGCATGTGATAGAACAGCTTAGGTTTGTACAAGCAGCCCCCAGTGTCCAGTACCAGACCATTCCCCCAGACTTGGGCGGCTTGAGAGACGACGTTGAAGCAGCACTCAAGGAACAGCGGGAGGCCGAAAACGACGCTGTAAGGAAACAACGGGAAGAGGCCGTTGGACAGGCAATGGAGTATTGATCAAGAACAGACTGGCTTGCCATTGCAGCATGGGAGTAGGTGGATACCAGACGGAGTTTACGGTGTAGAGATGATTTCAGAGTTTAACACTTGGCATCCTCAACGTCTAGAGCGGGCCGGGCGGGAACTCGGTGACGGAAATGGTGAACGATAGCGACGATGGCAAAGTTGGTTATTTGCTACTACCTCCAGTACCTCTATTCCTAGAAGATATCAAACAACCACCAATTGAATCCGTCACTCGGGTTTTGTAGTACCAAGTCATCACTACATGAAGGACATGTCTGTCATCTCTTAACACAGTCTCCGACGGCTGCACACGTGATATACTCATGGAACTATACCAAGCCCTGGCTAATATGGACGTCATGAACAATGATGGCGGATTCTCGTCAACTTGCATGAGGGCACAGCAAGGGGGATTCCGACGTTGTGGTTGCGCGGTGTGTGTCGCAATATGGAACCAAGCAACCCGTCTCTCATTCGACGTTATTTGGCTGCCTGGATAGCGGGGCGTGGCCAGGATTCTCGGCCACTAGGTCCTACTTTGGCAAGATCTGGGCCGGGCAATCGAGCAATTGTCCAATTAGACCCAGGAGCACAACGAGCATCCTTAAGCTTAATCCTGTTTTCAATCATGCGACGACGAACCTGACAGAAGGCTTCTTGGAGGAGACCAAGAAGCATTGAGAGAGAGAGAGAGAGAAGCTACTTGCCAGTATCTATCAGGTACCTAAGGTTGAGATGTTCTCAGAGTCAAAAAACTGCAATTCTGCCGTGCGCGTTTGCGCCGGGAATCGTTTTCTCGGGTTCTTATCAAAAATAATTATATGCGGCTGTAGTATCCCTTACCTAGGTAGCCGCAAACTGGGTACATCACATCATACGATTGTGAATAGGGGACGATGTCACCCTCAACCCATCGATGCTGTCTTACACCATCTGGCCGATATTTGTGGTTCCCGGTCAGCATTTAGGTCAAGCCCAGGGTTCTTGTTCGCTCTTCCAATCTGCGAGGCCAGGATCGCGCCAATGGATTCACAGTATCGAGGCTTGGTTGACTCAACGCCGTCCCTCATCCTCGCTGTATTTGGGTTATTCGTACCGACAAGTTCTCCATCGATGCTACGCTCCCTAGCCCTGCATCCTCAATTGTGTGCCTGGAAGAAGGGCAAACAACTTTGGATCGGAAATTTCCCGCCTCACATTACTAACCCGGGTCCTCGTATAAGTCAGATCGCACTACTTGTAACTTTCCTTTCCACAACAGAGAAAGCGCCATCCGTAGGAGCGCGTCACTCAAGACTCAGCAGCACCAAACCCAACAATCAACTAGATCCTTCCGCCGGACCAAGCGCCCTCCTCTCAAGATGGTCTTGCCTCAGCTCGCTCTCCTGACCCTGGCCCCGGCCGGCATCCTCGGCCTCGCCGCGCCGCTCGGCCCACGCGCCGTGGACTGGGACAAGTGGAAGCCCGGCGTGAGCTTCCAGATCGTCCTCCACCACCCCATCAAAGCCGAGACCACGGCCGACATCATCCCGGCCAACGCCGATGTGTGGGACATTGACCTGCAGCACGCGGTCGACTACGAGAACATAATCCCCACTCTCAAGGTGAGACGACAGCAACCTAGGTATCCTACAGTCATCTTTCCAAAACAGACGTGCTAACAGCAAGAACCCCCGAAAAAATAAAAGTCAGCGGGAAAGATTGTCATGTGCTACTTCAACGGCGGCGCCGTCCAAGACTGGGACGAGGACCTCCAGTCCTTCCCCGCCGCCGTCATCGGCTCGCCCCTGAACCCGCCCTATACAGACGAGCGCTACCTCAACATCAAGGACAGCCGCGTCGTGTCCCTCATGAAGAAGCGCCTCGAGCACGCCGCGTCAATCGGTTGCGACGCCGTCGACCCGGACAACATTGACGCCTGGGCCGAAGACGGCGACGACCCGACGGGCTTCAACCTGACCCCCGCCGACTACGCAACGTACATCACCGCCCTGGCAGCCCACGCGCACATCCTCACGACCACGGCTGCGAGGAAGTTGCTCCTGGGCCAGAAGAACGCGCCCACCATTGCGCCGCAGCTGGCGTCCGTCGCGGATTTCGCTGTGCTGGAGACGTGTCTTGGCACCCGGACGTCGGACGAGGTCGAGCCCTTCTGCGCCGACTTTCAGCCGTACGTCGCGGCGGGGAAGCCCGTGTTCCAGATCGAGTACCCGACCAGCGTCCGGGATGATGATGCCATCGACCAGGCCGATTACGACTACTTTTGCGTCAACAAGAATGGAAACGAAGGGTTCAGCGAGGTGTTGAAGCATGCCAGCGAGCAGGTTGATGGTTGGGGCCAGTTTTGTGGCTTGGGGCTTACGGGAGCAAGGTTCGAGACGCCGACTATTGATGAGGACGAGGAGTGAGGGGGATTGTTGCATTCTTCTTTCTTGGAGGAAGAATCACGATGAGATGCCGCCGAGAGGAATGAGTGTAAACGAAAAGATGAACGTTGACGACTATGGGCATGATCCAATTGTTGTACATTACTTATATCCAGTAGGACATGTACATGCTGGTAATAAATTTTCAACCAGAGTTCAAAGACGAAATAGTCCGCCACTCCGTGCAGGCCGTACAAGAGAAGCAAATGACCAAACGCGAACAGGCATGCCATGGAGCCATGGCGGATGTCAGAAGAAGCCCCTCGCTCGAAAATACTCAGTTGTGGACTTGAACAGAAGCAACGGCCTCCTGCTCCAACATCTTACGCTTCAGCCCCCTTACCTTCAATGCCACGTACCCAACCAGCACAACACCAACAGCGAAGCCAGCCGAGAGCAGCATGAGGTTGACGGGCACGGGATCGCCGCCAAAAGTCTGATGGAATAGAACGTCTAGCCCGGACTGAAAAAAGTTGAAGAGACCTGATAGGCAGATGATGGTGCCGTACACGGTGCCGAACGTCTCAAAGCCAAACACCTTGGCGCTGTAGTCGGAGACGGCGGTGTAGTAGAAGGGGCGATAGAGCACAAAGAGGCAGACCTGGATATACGCCGCGCCCATGTTGTTGACGACGCCCAGCACGCCAATGGTGGTCGCGATGGTGACGAGCGCCGTCAGGACGGTGACGGTGCTGGTGTGGTCGAGGAGGACGCCGATGAACGGAATGGAGAGAATGCCTCCCACGGGCAGGGCGACGTCAAAAAAGTTGTTGATCTCGACGGCCTTGCCCACGTCGCCAAAGATGACCTCGTACTGTGCCCGGATGGTGGCGACAAAGTAGTTGATACGAAGCATCTGAATGATGGTGAAGAGGCAGATGAGGATGAACCATGGCGAGGCGATCTGGCGCAGGGCTGAGCGGTTATGCATGACACCCCAGACCCCCGAGGTTTCGTTCTTGTTCTCTTGACGGATCTGCTTGTCCGCCTGTTGGTTGCCAAGCAGCTGTTCCACATCGGCAACGACGGACTCGCGGTGCCGGCGCTCCTCACGCAGAAGCGCCGTGTTCTCATCGACCTGGTCGTCGTACGGATACAGGTCTGCTTGATTCGCAGCCACGGTCTCCTCTTGCAGCTCGACCAGTTCTCCCACCGTCTTGTACGACTGCTTGGGCATCACGACGAATTGGGCGATGATGATGAAAACCGGAACGATCAGGTACACTTTGAAAAACTTGTCATGGCCAAAGGTACCTGCCGAGGCTTGGAAGATCAGGCGGTAGACCAAGAACAAGGCGCTAGAGGCGTCGAAAGCACCCGTCATGAGGGCGAGAATGAAGCCAGAGTGCTTCGGAAACGCATTGGACAATTGGAAGGACGAAATGTAGGTGAAGGGACCGCCCAGAGCAAGCGACAGGTATCCAATGAGGAAACCGTCAAAAGGCAACGTCTTGGCATAAGCCATCAGAAGCGATCCGATGATCAGGAAGACACTGCCCACAAGCCCACATACGCGCGGACCAGCATGGTCAAGCAGGGCGCCGACAGGGAGAGCCGCAATGTTGGTACCGACTGCCGCCACCGTAAACATGAGATTGAGATGGATCTCAACACACGTGTCGTCGGGGGTTGAGTTGGACTCCTTGGTGGAACAGACGTCGCTGTAGGCACCCTCTCGTTTGAGCACCGGCTTCAATGCAGCAAAGCCGAAGGCGATACCCGCTGCAAAGAGGCAGTAAATTACAGCGGTGGTGACTTGGACTGAAGCAGATGGTTAGTACGTCTTCTGTATGACATCAACTGGTATCACGGCGTCGGCGACTTCTTTGGCGGCGGGTGGCAGGCGGGCGGGCTGGTGAGACGACCAACGTACGAATTCTTTTCCATTGCGGAACCTCAAAGGCGCCAACTGCAAGTACGGTATCAGGTTTACTTGCCGCAGGGTACCAATCGTCGGGGAGAGGGTTGAACGTAAGCCGTCCGGCCCTCACACTGGAGGCATCACTGCCTCGTCTCGATCCCTGGGCTTGGGGGAGGAATTGGAACGTTTCCACCGAGGCCACACGGCTCAACGACATGGTGGAGGATTAATTGGTTGATGTTTTTCTTCGTGAGTGAGTTGCCAGTGGATAAAAGAGACGGAAAGCAATGGTTGGTATTTGTCAACGACGCTGTTGGGAAAACCGGCTGCCAAGAAACAGGTTCGAAGACGAAGTCAAGGTGAGCTTAAGAGGTGGAGCTGAGCTTGAGATGGCTAGCACAACAAGCTCTGACTCGCCAATGACAATCCGTCGATAGGCAGAGGTTGGCGAGACTCGATCGAATGAGGTAAGGTAAGGTAGGATGGAACAAGATACAGAGCGGATTTCAGACTTTTCAGTCGAGATAAGGCCACTTATCGGTCGATCAAGAACCAAGACTTGCCTCCTGCAAAATTTTCTAACGTCGTCCTTGCTCGTACCCTCATTCAGCCGGACTCGCGGGGCACACCGTACAAAGAGGGAATAACGGCTACTAGGAGCTGTGGGAGAGAGGAGACGGCAGGGATCTCGCAGTCGACCGCCGTGGACTTAGACTGTGAGTGTATCGCAAGGACAAGACAGCAATTGAGGATGGCAATTCGGAGGAGGATATTTTGAGAAATCAAACTATGCTCGACGGGATTGTAGGAAGGTAAGATGGAGGTTAAAGTAGAGGAAAGTATCCAACAGACAAGTGATCAGGCCGGTGGCGATGCGGGGAAGCGCCGATTGGGCGGGGTTGGGGGGTTCACGGCCGCATTGGATGTTGTAGGACACACAGCCAGGACACGCGGATGGGATGCATGCAGTTGCACTGGGTTCGATGAAGAACGAGCCAATGCTTGCCAAATACGACGAAAACAGATGAAGAAATTGAACCGTCATGTGGTACTCCTTCCCCGGTGGGCACCGCATTTCGTCCGCCGATCTGCCGCCGCGAACCGAACCGCATGGGCTCGACCGGCGCTCGGGGAACCAAGCTTTGCACCGGATGGGGCGAACGATGGGGGTTTGATATCTTACCAGAGCGGTTTCTTCGTCCCCTCGGATGAGCACGTTTTGTAGTTGGAATCTTCAGCCAAAGCTTGTCAGCGGTTCCGGATATCTATCCGTCATGGTGCTTTGAGAGACGGGAAATGAACCCTCCGTTGGGTCACTGATTGCCAATCGGGAGAGAGAGCAGAAAGGCTTAAGAAACCTTGGATGAGAAAGAACGGAAAGTCTAATTGATGCTTATTTGCTTGCTAATCATATTCGATGCATCATTTCCTGCCGACTGCCTATTCATAAAACATCAGCGAGCATGCGATACATCCCTCATCGCACATGATAGTGGTAAGGAAATGGGAACAGACTTGTTGCAAGTGAATTTGCTAAATGGGTGCAGAATGAGCAGTTTTTGAAATGGGGACACTCGCTGCACTTTGAGCATTGTGACGAGCACTGTTTTACATAAGTAATAAGACGACTTAGGTGGTCTCTGTCGACCCCATCCCGCCACATCCGTCTACCCCAATCGAACCCAGTAAGTAACAGAGCAAGGGAGGGTCAGCGGCCACAGCGGCTAAGAAGTTGAAAAGAAACTCGTACATCGCAGTGGACTCTGTTGATCGAACGAACATGGATCGGTGTCTCATGACACATCGTCCATGTGCTTGATGCCGAAGATGTACAGCACAATGCCACTTTATAGAAGCTTCAGACATCTCCGATTAAAGGTCTGTTCCTACTACTACGGCGGCCCGGACACCTACGCTGGCCACCTTACCGCATGCGGGGAGGGGGCTCCTGCCGCTGATAGCCTCCGGCCCGACCAACATCGGGTGCGAGGGCGGTGGCGGTTGTGCTCTGCGGTAGAAGCTGACCACCGGCGTCCACCCTCAGGCCCCGGAACCCAACGAAGTCTTGGGATACCTTATCACGCCGATGACTACACATCCCGATTACTCTCTCGTTTACAGATGCTAGATGTTGACCATGGCAAGGGCAACGAAGGGTAGTCGTGAGCAGTAAGATTAAAAACTAACGTTGCGTCGGCAATACACAAAGCGGCTATAAGGGTACCCCCAAAAGCCCGCGGGCTACGCTCGTCATGAGACCACCTGCGAAAACAATACAAGCACGATAGCAGGGCAAACGGCAATAGACAAATGAAACAATGCGTCATGGTGACAACGTGCCGGCAAGGACTGCCGTTCAAGCTCTGCCCTTCCCCAATATTCCCGTCCATTCTTATGCAAACTACCCGAGTCGAGTATCCATCATCTCTAACCCTCTACTAATTGTTTCTTGATGTTTTAATTTTGACGGCAAAATGTCGGCACCCAACCGCGAAAGAAAACGCCTCATAAGGTAGTCGGAAGGCATCGTCGCAGAACGTGGCTCGAGTTGACTTGGGCCGAATTCACCGTTAGAAAGGAGATGTCCGTCCCGGCTCGTCGGGATTCCAGGATAGTTCCAGTTGCACCCTCGGGCTGTTAACCTCTTCCTTCGTCCATTGCTCCAACTTTTCTTCTCCAAACGTCTCCACAGCATGAAAATTATGCACACAAATTAGAAGGCCATCAAAGATCGTAAGCGGACGTGTCGTGCCGATCCGTCGATATTCTAGAGGTATTCACGAGAAGCAAAAGCAAGAACATCCACGCCAGGTTATCACTGGTCATGAATTCGTCACTTGTAGAATCTGATGATAGCCTTTCCGCCGGCGGGCATGGCCGTCTGTGAAGTGCGAGTTAGCCAGGGGGTGATTTGCATATGCCAGGGTATGTCAACTTACAGTGCAGCCAGTGCCACCTCCGGTGTAGGAGCCATTGATAAGCGCACACTTGCTGTTAACATCGCCCGTAATTTCAATGTTGAAATCGAGCTCGGCGGTCGAGGTTGGTGCGTTGTTGAAGATGGAGATGTAAGTGTTGCCGTCGGAGCTCTTGCCAACACCGAGGTTGACGGGGGCCCAATTACCGGCGCCAAGAGGGTCCTTGTCGCTGGTCCAGACGCAAGATTCCTCAACGGTGTAACCGAGCTTGTTGACATAGTACTGTGCGGTGGTAGGGCTGCCGTTCCAGACGTAGTAGTCGGCGGAGCTAGGGTTGGTGAGTGGCAACTGTTGGCCGGGCTGGGGAACAGTGGCAATGACCATGTTTTCGAGACCAGGGTAGTCGGTACGGCAAATGCAGGAAATGTCATCGAGGTCGTTCTGGACAAAGACGCCGCCGGCGCCCAGCTCGCAAAGGGTCTTCTTGGTAGGGCGAGAGAGCTCGAGGTAACCGTCGGCGTTGCAGTAAAGTCCACCAATAGATTGCTTGGTTGAGCCCTGAGCGGTGGGCCATTGGGTCTTCTGGTATTCAACGGGGCAAGAGTATGAGCAGAAGGAGTTCTTGGTGCAACCGCCGCCGTCAGAGGCAACGGCAGTCTCGATGAAGGAGATCGACGCGTCACCGATACTGTAGTCGGGGGTTCTCTGAATGCCAGTCCAGCCGTTGGTGCCGAGGTAGTCGACCGGGATTGCGCCGTAATCAGAGGGGAACTTTGAGCAAGGGATAGTGCCGCTGGGGAACTCGGCGGTCAGGCCCGTGCCTCCGGAGCTGCTGGAGCCTCCGCTCGAGGACTTGGAGGTGGAAGCTGGCGCCTCGGTCGAGCTGGACGAAGGAGTCGGGGTCGGAGTGGGAGTGGGAGTGGGGGTAGGAGTCGGGGTCGGGGTCGGGGTCGGGGTCGATGAGGTGGAGGGCTTGTAGTCCTTGACCTCGAAGAACTGGGCGTCCTTAGAAGCGGAAGGCTTGGGGGCCGTGGAGGTCGAGGGGGACGGCAGAGGGGTCGAGGAGGGCGTGGTCTCGCCGACAACAACAAACAGACCATCGGCGATGCCCTTCTTGGCCTCCTCTTCGGTGACAGGCTTTCCCCCCAGTTCGTAGGCGGTCACCATCGGGCCGGACTCGTACACGACGACGACATCGGGTTCGCGCTTGTCGACGGGCGAAGCGGTGTCCTTCTTCACATGGCGGTGACGGTGATTGTGGGGTTGAGCAACAACACCGGCGGCGAGGGATGCCGCAATGGCGAGGCTCACGATGGACCTCATTTTGTCGATTGATAATGGTATTCTAGAGTATGTGTTAGCGCATCTCGAACCTAGAATGCGTCGGACGGTACACAAGGGTGCTTCATAAGGGGGGACGGAGAGCCGCTACAACGGCAGGCAATGAGATAAGACGTCAAAACAATAACAATCATCGAGTTGTAATTGTTCATCGTTTCCAATGCCGCGCAACTTGCGGTTTCCTCTCGCAATGCTGCGTTCCGTGTTCTGCCCGAATTGCTTTTGTGTATCCCATTGAGGAGGCTTTTGCCGGCACAACTCACCCTTTTCTCGCGAGTACAAGTCAGAATCGAAAAGTATTCGATGTTTGCGTATCTTGTCGGTTGATAGTGATCGAAACAGAAAATTGTATAGGTGATTATAGGTTAATGAGTGAAGGCTGATTCGGATTCAAAAGAGTGTAAACGAGAGCGAACTCTCTAGTTGGGAATCAACGCGGTGAACGAGAGTGAAGACCTCGATGACCAGGAGAAACTGAGAAAGGGAGGAAGAGAGGGTGAAGTGGAGGGAAACAGGGTAAAGAGGCCATGTCATGGATCCCTTGGGAAATTAGGAAGACGAGGCGCGCCAGGTACGCCAGGTACGCCAGGTACAAGCCGTACAAGCCACCCTCCAAGACTACCCAAGACCACCCCCAAGCACTACCTATTATCAGAAACAAGACGATCCCGCCCGCCGGCTGCAGGTACAGACACGCTTACGAGGGCACCTGCGACACCTTGCAGCAGCGGTGCCTTCCCAGAAGTGGAAGAAAAGGAGTTCATCTGCCTAGACGGGACTAGCGTCATATTAGAATTAGTGGTTCGTGGTCCCATTGATTTCCATTGACATCGATACGGAGCTCATAGCACCTGGACCGGGGCCCTGGACCTGGACACGGACAGGAAGGAGCAACCAGGAATTGGAAGCGGATGCTGCTTGCTACCTTACCTTACTTGCTCCTTCTTGAACTTGCATTTACCCGCGGGACCATAAAAATGCTGCATGTGAACCGAAGCCTGGGGCACATGGGCATGCGGACGCAAAATGCGCCAATCCCCCTCTTTTTTGGATGTCTGCATTGTGTCGTACGAGGAAAGTGGAAGGCGCTTACAGCCAAGATCCGTGGCCCCCTTCCTCTTTTCTGGCTACAGGCAGTTGGGAGTCGGGACTCGGGCGTCGTCGGATATCCGGGTCCAAGGCATGGAAAGCATACCTATTCTATTGCCTTCATTTGCGACTTTCATCATCCATGGACGCAGTTGCAACTTGTGCCTTCATCCTGGTAAGGCACAAAAATTCAATCGGATTTTGGCACTCACCCAGGAGGCACTTCCAGGGATGTCCCGGTCACACAGCGTGACACTGCCGTTGCCTTCGGCTTCTACAGCTGTCGTCCGATCATTCTTTATTTGTATCTTGTTTTTCTGCTCGCCTCAGGCACAGCCCGTTCGTCTCATCATGCGTCCATCCGATGGTTCTGGGCAGGGAAAAAAGAAAAAGGCAATAGAAGAAACATAAGTGGCGGTACCGTTGGAAACAACCTCAGCACGCATACGATGCGAGACAAGCCATTACCGCCAACCAGCCGTTGCGTATCAAGCCACGGCCTCGTCTACCACCCCCC